CCCCTTAGGAGAAACACTTACCACAAGCACATACACATACCAACACCCAATACAAACAAACTTACTTACGTCCCTCAATGACACCGGACACACGATCATCGGCCCCCAGAAAGGACCAATGCCCCAATGCCCCCCCTTGACCCTCATCATAGGTCCTACAAGCATAGAAGACACCCCCCACCAGGACTAAAACTTCACGGACCACCAAGATGAGTAACTTACGACCCCTTCAACTACAGATGCCGACAGACTATAATGACTAAGGACACATGTGTGTAATGTAAACCTACCCATTAAATGGACATGGACCCATTACACCCCCCCTCCCCCCCTCCACACACCCTATCTGTTTCTGGAACCTACCATTGATATGCAAATCATATGTAAATAGAACACTGACAAACGACGGAACTACAACAGTTCACAAATCCAAACTAAAAGACATAAAGATGCAAACTTAGCTACAATAATATCCAACTAGTAAGTGTAATGCCTTGGCTGTTGTTTAGATAACGTCACCATTAACACAATCGATGTCATTCTTCTACTCTACTCGAAAAAGACTTGTACCCCACCCCTATTTTTGCATTCTGTACCCCATATTTACAGTTGATAAAATCAAAAAATAAAGAATTTACAAAAAAAAAAATATATGAGAAAAGTAAACGTTTTTCAAGAATAATATGTCGTTGAGGACCCTGCTCAAAAAAGGTTACAATTCTACCGCAAAAAAGACCTTGGGCATAATAAAAAAATTATCGTGGACATTAATTAGTGGAAAAAAGAAAAAGGAAGTGATAGACAAATGATACTAAACAATTATGTTAGGACTTGGTCCTTTCGGTATAGCACTAGTTCTATTAAAAGAGACTTGATATCAGACGTTTTGTACTGTTACTGTTCTCGGGGGTTGGCAATAAATATACAATCAGGTTTGCTGGGCTGCAGAAAAGAGTGCACAGGGAGGAGAAGAAAAATAAAGAAGAAAATAGAAGGAGTACATGGGAACAGAGATTAGGAACAGATGTGAAGGGCAGGAGGAATAGAAGGGGAGCGTGGGAAAGAATAAGAAAAAGGAAGAATAAGAAAAAAATCCAGAAAGAAAAATGGAGATTTTGAAATCCATGTGCTTAGAGAGTTTAAAAAAATATGAGCCAAATGTTGAAAAGTGTTTCGCTATAGAAATGATCATATAAAATGTAGGAGAGTTCATGAACTTTTCATCAGAAAAAAAATATTTAAAAGAGGTCCCCCATAGATTCCCTTCATTTAGTTTCTGATGTGATTATTCATGAAGCAGATATTTATATTGAGTTGACAACTAATTTGCAAAACTTTGGTAGAACCTTCTAGGAGAAAGAACATAATTTTGTTCAATTATTTACAGCTTGCTGTAGACTGTTGTATTTCTTATATAAGAATTACGTTATTACCAAAGATTCTGTATCTGTTTAGGGCGTTACCTATACCAATAATTATAGATGACCCTTTACTTGAGAGACATATGCTCAAGTTTATCAGGTTGGGGAAAAGGACAGAATGTCCTTCAAAATTGCTTTATTGGCAGGATTTGAAGGTGGTTTTAATGTTACAAATTTAACTCTTTACTACAGATGGGCTCAATTTGCACAGGCTTTAAATTGGAACTTGTTGAGGGGCTCAATTTGCTGGGTTGGTATCAAGGATTCAGTTTGTTCACCATGGCGCTTGTCATCTCTACTTTGGTTCGCTATGAACAAAAGATCTTTGAAATCTACGAAATTTGTTGTCAAATACAGTACCCACGTATAGCATTTGGCGTTGGTGTAGATGTAAGGATGGTCTATTGATTCGCTAATGAATCCTACAATTAATAACCCTGTGTTCCATCAACAATCTAACAAGAGCTCTGCAGAATTTTTTTGGTGGTTCTCCCGCTCCCTATCAACTATTGGAGATGTACTCAAATTTGGTCTGAACCCTACACGAGTCTCTTTTTTTAAGGAAATTATCCATATACCTGCACAAGAAATTGTAAATAAAGGAATTTTGGCATAACGTGATACTTCTTATCATGAGTCGTCATTGAATGTATTTACAAATATAAGAAACACAAATGAGTTTCAAGAATGTCACAGAATATTTTGAAATAGGTCACCATCAATCTGATTCAAAATGTCGGAACTTACGTTGAGCTGACATACAACTAAAGCTGAATTAAGTGCTGGTAAAAAAATTGGGTCTGCACCAATAAAAGATTGATGCAGCACCTGATATCATTACTGGGGGTGGAGAATCACAGGAAGAAGAATGGTGACGATTTACTTCTATGTATCTCTCTCATTCATCAGGTGTCACTGTGGTTTACTTAGAGAATATGTTCCTCTTAGTCGGTAAGAAGATCGTCGGTAGCTAAGTTGTTCTCGAGGTTTTATAACAAGACATTCTAAAAGGCACCCAGGTCACAAGTCACTTTAACCACCTTGGTGCCTTTTGTAATTTACTTTTTGAGATAAAAATACTACAAGATAGAGAGTAAGGGACATATCAAGTCACAATTGAAATGCCCAAAACACACTCCCAAAAATAAACATATATAAAAAAATTACTTCTGAATTCCATTTGCCTCTTAAAAATCCCCAGCGACATCTCTTGCAGAAGAAAAATTAGTCATCTAAATTTTACCCCATGGCAAGTTAAGACGCCAGGTGATTACCAATCAGTATTAGTTAAGAGATTGTTCCAAAATACTTTACACATTTTTCCTGTCATGTTATGTCTACAAATCTGTTCCTACTCATGGAAAAAGATAAAATTCCACAGCAGTGTGTAAATAAGTGACACTTTATTACTATCAAAAACAGTAAACACTGTTTTCAAAACTAATCCAAGTATAATTAAAGTCTGTACAAACAGAAATGTTGCTTCTAAGTTGGTGCTAATTAAAAATCACTTATGGTGCCATTTCTTCCATGTTGACACTGGGTGATTACCGCAAGGCATGTCTGAAAAGACACACGCATGGAGTTATTGGTGGTGCAATTGGGACAGATCTTGAGGACCATGGGACTGACAGCATTGCACCACTGTGACTCCATCTGTGTAACGGCACCCTCAGCATAAAAGGGTTAAACCGCCGTTTAGGAGATCTTCCCTTCCAGAGACACAGGCACAGCTACTACAGAACACCAAACTCCCAAACTGGATACAAAGGAATGCTCCAAACTCCTGAACTGGAACCTCACGAATAGCTGCTGGCAGCTGAACAGGAAAAGCACCCAAGCGGCTTACACTCCTGGCAATCAGTCTCTAACAGCATACAGTAAATCCCCCAAGAACGAGACAAAGCTCCGTGTTGAGGGTCAAGCAGTGAACAGTCAGAGCTGTGGGTTTATTGTGCTTATGTACACATTCTTACACATTAGTACCACCTACAGGGTTTTGGAACACAACCAATAAACACATACAATACACTCAGACACTCCCACACAAAATCCTCCCCTCTGCCTGTGATTCAATTACCTTACACAATGGGTAATGTAATTATAACAAGCAGAGAAATAAATTTTTTCCACATTATTCATAACTTGAAAAGTATGCATCACATTCACTTAAATTCTTACATTTTAAGAATCAGCATACTCCACATACAAACATACGTCAAAATCATACAAATTGGTCCAGGGGTTCAAAAGATAGATCGTAGTCCTTTGTGACCAAAGGAAGCATGGCTTTTCTGCCCAAAACCAGTTCCACAGAGTCTTCTATCCTGGAGATAATTGTGAAGTAATCCAATTATCTCCAAGGACAGAGGCAAAACTAAATTGAACACATGGCAGCAAAAGACAATAAAACACATAAAAACATATAACTGTGCAGCCATTGCACAAAACAGGTACATTCAACATATCCCCAGATAGCTCAGATCTGAGCGCACATTATTACTGAATGGCGCTCACAGCACACACATACAGTTCAATTGCCATGGAGCCAAAGTCTTTCCCATAGTCTTTCATTATACGAATGGGCTCCATGGCATAGGTATCTGGGGTATCACCGCTCAAAAAGGGCCAGCACTGAATGACCCGGCTTTCGTGTCTCCGCAGGGTAAAATCAAGCATTTCAACATGGGGCCATAGTCTAAAGGCAGCAGACGAGCAACCAGGCTTCTCCAATGCAATGTGGCGAGATTGCTCTCGTCACAATCTGGTCCCCCGGGAGACTTGGGGATGAATCCACCAAAGGGAAACATTTTATGCAGTTGATTCCTGCCTGATCTTTGTGGCGTGTGATGAATTATACAAAGGCACAGGACATAATGTAATTGAAACAGGACTGATAAATCATCAAAATTTGGGTAAAAAAGCTGAACTGAATTTTGTTATTTCCAACTCAATTATTTTAGACTGCAGTTTGCCACTTGGCTGCCTACTTGTAAACAAAACTCACTGCTTATTTAGTTTTCGTTCTCAATGAGTAACATATGGCTGTAATAGGAAAGGGTGAATATAACAGGGGTGAAAGAATACACAATTTTGCCTTGGGTCCACATCTGCAATCCTTAGGTGGAGATACCCCATGATCCTAAAAATATACATGTTGTTCAGGGTGTGCTTTACTCGTAGTTCTAACTGTACCGCCAACTACCCATGTTTTTTTCAACACTTTAAACTTATTTCTGTTAACTTTATCTCTCTTTGGAGTTATCAATTATTATCATCATTTCTTTATACAGCTTTTGATACCTAGAGTAAAGGGTAAAACAAAACAGCGCTTTAGAGACATAAACAGACAAACTTAGCATATACTGAGAACCCTACACCTGCAAGCGTGCAATCTAAAACTTCACAATGTTTTAAAATTCCTTCCAAATAGTTTTTTTCCCATTTTATATGTTGCGATCGATCTTTCAAGTTGCTATCAGACTTATAATATCTCATTGTTTTGGCAAATAAAAAGTACATTGTTACCTAAGGGACACTATAGTCACCTGAACAACTTTAGCTTAATGAAGCAGTTTTGGTGTATAGAACATGCCCCTGCAGCCTCACTGCTCAATTCTCTGCCATTTAGGAGTTAAATCCCTTTATTTATGAACCCTAGTCACACCTCCCTGCATGTGACTTGCACAGCCTTCCATAAACACTTCCTGTAAAGAGAGCCCTATTTAGGCTTTCTTTATTGCAAGTTCTGTTTAATTAAGATTTTCTTATCCTCTGCTATGTTAATAGCTTGCTAGACCCTGCAAGAGCCTCCTGTATGTGATTAAAGTTCAATTTAGAGATTGAGATGCAATTATTTAAGGTAAATTACATCTGTGTGAAAGTGAAACCAGTTTTTTTTTTTCATGCAGGCTCTGTCAATCATAGCCAGGGGAGGTGGGGCTAGGGCTAGGGCTGCATAAACAGAAACAAAGTGATTTAACTCCTAAATGACAGTGAATTAAGCAGGGAAATTGCAGGGGAATGATCTATACACTAAAACTGCTTTATTTAGTAATTTAGGTGACTATAGTGTTCCTTTAGTTGTTCTCAGTGTCACATTACATTTCATGATTAGCAGGACTCAAAAACATTTAAAAAATATGCTTGTTGTGGACTACATCCCCCATAATGCTCTTCCACCCATAATGCTGGCAAAGCATCAACGGAGGTGTAGTCCAAAACATCTGGAGTGCCGAAGGTTGTCTATGCCTATTCCAAATCATAATCATTTACTAATGAGATAGTGGTACTGTTAAAGAGATACTCACTTTATGTGTTTTTAGAAGTATTTGTTTGATAGAGCAAAAAAACTGCTGAGTCTCTTGCAGTTTGTTTGGTAGTATCTGACCCCACATTCTCTCTATAACTGTGAGGTTTGTTCTGTTGTCAAAAAAAAAAAAAAAAACATTCCTTTAAATACATTGCTTTCCCAGCCTCTTTGTGCAATGTCTCGCTTTCCTTCTGTATGTGTGTATCTGCCGTGAATGATCCCTTCTTATCATTATTATTATTTATATAGCGCCAACATATTCCGCAGGGCTGTACATCATGACGTCTTAACTCATTATCAGTTTTTGTGATTTGTTGTCACACACTTCTCATCATTGTAGTGTAAAGTGTCTGTGTTGTGAATGTACTATTGTGTTAGAAGGTGTGCCTGTGTTATTTTTTTTCATTTATAGGGTGGAGGGTGTTCATGGAAGGGTCTGCTAGTTTAATACAACACTCTTGCTGTTCTCAGACCATGTTCCCTTCTAAAAAGGCTGTCTGTCTATTTGGGCAGTGACTTCCTGCAAACGTCACTGATCTGTCTCAGTATGGGGTACCGTCTCTATGGCATGTGAACATGTCTATCCGTGTATCAGAGCTCTTCTGTGTGCACTGGCATTCATGTATTTTTTTTTTCTCGTTCTACTGTGCCATGCATGTTAATCTGTGTGTATATTTATATACTGACGTGCATATGGATTTTCACTTAGCTTTTAGGCCTATTAATCAGATGTCATGGGGTAAAAAAATAAGTATACTTGAGACACCAGAAAATTTAGAGAAAATAAACCCGAACTTAAAATACAAAACTTAGGCCACAATAACTGATTTAGAAAAATTATTTGACTGTGGTATAGTCACCTCCTGGTTATTTTAGCGTTAAATTTGCAGTTTGGGTTTCAAATCCACTAACATTCCCTATTTAGAGAATAAACAGTACAAATATTTTAAGTCTAATAATCAAAGTTCTTCTCGCAGCAAAGACTTGTATAAGCAGATGCTGAAATAGAAAACAGGCACCCAAAATTGCTAGGGTAATAAATCAAATTAATTACCAATGTCAAACGGAGAAGGACTTTTTCACTAGCACTATGAAACCAAACTTAATACATTCAGACAAATCTGTTCCTCTTAGAGAATTGACAATGTTTACTAAGTGATGTCACACTATGTCTGTATTCTATTTAAGGATGTGCCACTGGGTATATGTAGATGTCTTTGACATATGAATGTTATAAAATAAGAACTCTGGGTTGAGTTTGGATTATGAATTATTATTTAGTGATCTTCTCCGTCACCGACTAAATTACTTTTATTGTGTAAACACAATGGATGGAGCTATTCAAAAACGTTCTTCTTCTTAATATAATGCTGCAGAAACAGAAAAGTGCATACAATAGTGCAGACAATTTACAATAAATATAAAAGCAATATTTACAAGGAAACACTCACAAAATCAGAGCCAATTGGAACCTGGCTCTGGTATAGATGGCTTCAGGATCTATTCCAGGGTGATCCTGGCCCTTCTGTGATTGATGGAGCTGTTTCCGGATGAATGGAGAAGAATCCAAAGGGTTGGAATAAATGAACAAATTTATTGAACAAAATTGATATAACTAAAACATAAAAACCATCAAGGATAAAATAATAAGTGAGCCAAAACGCGTTTCGCCTATTGTGGCTTCCTCAGTCAGCTCTCACAACCACTGTCCAGACAATGTTCTTTTATACCTCTTTAGTCTATTAAAATTCGCGGCTAAATTCCCTTTGGAACGCAAGCGTGCGTTCCACACCTTCATTACCATATTCCCAACCTCGTGGATGCGGTGACATCACTTCCGGGTTCCGTTCCAAGTGGGGACGTGTATTTCCGGTCACGTGAATACGATATCGTCACTTCCGGGTTTCATCCTAAGTGGAACGCAGGATGCGTTCCACTTCAAATGTTGTCTGTCTTTTCCTATTCTCCTGTATAAATGGAACGCAAAATATGCGTTCCAAGTCTTCTTTTCGTCCCAGACATATTTCTGCATATTTTTATGTATACATAGAACGCAGAATATGCATTCTATAACTCTTCATTGTCCCACAAAGGTGTCTCACAAAGTAGAAAAAAAACATATATCAAACATAGTTATATGAGATTTCTTTTTTACATACATATCATATATTCGATGTGCATATTAAGTCCCAATATTTAAAGTGATGGTGCTGATTATATAAAACAAGTGAATTACTTCATTGCATATAAAGTGACCATGCATGTGTTGTTATAATGTATGTGTAAATAAATTAATAAATTAATATTTTAAAAGAAACAGGAATATAGTCAGATAATTAATTATCCCTCCTTCCCCCTCTTTCGATAGTATATAGGTTAAAATTCTAAAAGGATATTAATTGAAATCTTAATAAATAGTTATAAAATAATTAAAATAATTAAAACTAAAAATATAATAATGTAAATGTTTATATCTTTTTATAGGAAATGACATAGTTCAAAATCTTGATTGAGCCCATATGGAATCAATGTTTTAAAATTGTAGATATACCCCTTGGTTAGACAACGCCCCTAAGAGTCAATTTTTAAGAATAAGACGTAATTGCACCCAAGATAACGATTATACAATACAAGCAAAAAGAATAAAAGAACAATTTATAGAAAAAGGATATAATCCCATAGACTTAACCACCTGCATGGAAGATGTAAAATTAATGAAGAGAAAAGAACTTATTGAATACAAAGGGAACACATCCAAAAAGAAAAGAAATTTGAGGAATAATAGTGAACCAAAAATTCCCTTTATATGCAATTATAGTGGGAACAATATAAAGATAAAGAAAATTATCCATAAATATTGGCCTATATTACAGGAAGATCCAATTTTAAAACAGATCTTGCCTCCCAAACCAATGGTAGTATATAGAGGGTGTAAAAATTTAAAGCAAAGAGTCGTTAAAAGTAGCTTTACCACTAAACAAACCGAACATTTTTTAAATAAAAATAAGGGCTTTTATGGATGTGGTTTGTGTCTAGCATGTAGGGAAACAAACCAAAAGAAAAGACATACTACCTCCTTTCAATATCAGAAAGATAAAATATTTACAATAAGGAATCAATTAACATGTTTCTCTAAAAATGTTATTTATATCTTGAAATGTCCCTGCAATCTCATATACGTGGGAAGAACAATTAGAAATGTAGACATAAGGGTTGAGGAACATGTGACGAATATAAAAAAAGGATTAGAAACACATAGCGTTTCGAATCATTTTAAAATCCACCATGATAAAGATCCGAGAGATATGTTTTTTTGTGCAATTAAAGCGGTACATAGAGATTGGAGAGGGGGAGATTTTAATAGAAAAATAGGGGAAGAAGAGATGAAATGCATCTACAATTTTAAAACATTGATTCCATATGGGCTCAATCAAGATTTTGAACTATGTCATTTCCTATAAAAAGATATAAACATTTACATTATTATATTTTTAGTTTTAATTATTTTAATTATTTTATAACTATTTATTAAGATTTCAATTAATATCCTTTTAGAATTTTAACCTATATACTATCGAAAGAGGGGGAAGGAGGGATAATTAATTATCTGACTATATTCCTGTTTCTTTTAAAATATTAATTTATTCATTTATTTACACATACATTATAACAACACATGCATGGTCACTTTATATGCAATGAAGTAATTCACTTGTTTTATATAATCAGCACCATCACTTTAAATATTGGGACTTAATATGCACATCGAATATATGATATGTATGTAAAAAAGAAATCTCATATAACTATGTTTGATATATGTTTTTTTTCTACTTTGTGAGACACCTTTGTGGGACAATGAAGAGTTATAGAATGCATATTCTGCGTTCTATGTATACATAAAAATATGCAGAAATATGTCTGGGACGAAAAGAAGACTTGGAACGCATATTTTGCGTTCCATTTATACAGGAGAATAGGAAAAGACAGACAACATTTGAAGTGGAACGCATCCTGCGTTCCACTTAGGATGGAACCCGGAAGTGACGATATCGTATTCACGTGACCGGAAATACACGTCCCCACTTGGAACGGAACCCGGAAGTGATGTCACCGCATCCACGAGGTTGGGAATATGGTAATGAAGGTGTGGAACGCACGCTTGCGTTCCAAAGGGAATTTAGCCGCGAATTTTAATAGACTAAAGAGGTATAAAAGAACATTGTCTGGACAGTGGTTGTGAGAGCTGACTGAGGAAGCCACAATAGGCGAAACGCGTTTTGGCTCACTTATTATTTTATCCTTGATGGTTTTTATGTTTTAGTTATATCAATTTTGTTCAATAAATTTGTTCATTTATTCCAACCCTTTGGATTCTTCTCCATTCATCCAGAAACAGCTCCATCAATCACAGAAGGGCCAGGATCACCCTGGAATAGATCCTGAAGCCATCTATACCAGAGCCAGGTTCCAATTGGCTCTGATTTTGTGAGTGTTTCCTTGTAAATATTGCTTTTATATTTATTGTAAATTGTCTGCACTATTGTATGCACTTTTCTGTTTCTGCAGCATTATATTAAGAAGAAGAACGTTTTTGAATAGCTCCATCCATTGTGTTTACATTGTATG